CTGGAGAAGGGTGGGCGAGTTTCCTGCAATACGTCCCACCACCACGCAAAGCATTGTGGGAGGTGTGGTGTCTCTTAATTTTTAGTTTAGTTTAAATTGTTTATTCATTTAATTTAAAACCAAAAATTTTATACACACTAAAAACAAAAGATATACACACACACACAATTTCAGAACCGTAACGCAGAACAGTTGGTCACAAGATAAAGCTCTGTGTTATTTCACCATACACCAGAGAGGGCGCTGTTTCAATACTGTGTTTCCTCGTGGTGTTGGTCACTGACAGCAAGCCCACTCTGCTGTTCAGAAAATAACGAACTCTTTAGAGAATTTTCTTTACTGTGATATCAGAAGATGTTCTGCCCCTGTTTTAAATGATGATAATCCATACCTTCTGATGTTAAAGATAATGACGACTGGTAGATAATTAGTTATTAGCGGTACTGCATTTTAATTTTAGAAAGCGCAAATCCACTTATGAATTATAAAATTAGTAAGACCGCTAAAGCGCAAATGAAATATTTAGGTCCACAATTAGCAGATTTGCGTTTTAGCGGACTGGTGCCCACCACTGGTCATTTACTATTAGCATTTTATACTGACTCCTCCCATCCTGGTTTGGATGTGTTATTTCTCCTCCCGCCTTGGACAGAGTCTGTTTAACCCTCTGCCTCTGACCCCTCCCATCTTTTTATGTATTTTTTATTGTACTTTTTTGAGGAGTTCTATAGTAGAAATATGCGCGCCACATAATTGTATACATGTCGTAAAGTGAAAAGATTATTTTATTACCTCAGACTTGTGATGAAATCAAAATGAAAGTAAGCACAGTAGCATTTCTGTCTCTGTGGTCATCTTTTTGTTCTCACCCGGTGGAGGTCTCCTTGGATGCCGTTATCCAGAACCTTAGCAGCCAACTGGCCCTCAGTGAGCTGTGGCCGCACAAATGGGGGATGCACACTTACAGACTGCAGACACTTCTTCCTGCTGAGATACCTGCAGACACAACTTGCCAATTACTCCAACTACCACTAACACATTTTAATAGCAGGAGTATGCAATGTAATTTTTCTAAAATAAAAAAAAACCTTCAAACATTCAGTGAGAAATTTAGTGTGGTAGTTATTTCAGAAACCTGGTTTACTGAAGGAAATGAACTGCAGTATGGACTGGACTGTTTTCAAATGTTTAGGTATAAAAAAAGGGATGGTGGTGTTGCACTGTTTGTTAGGTTGGATTTGAAATGTAAGGTTATTGCTAAAATGACATTTTCAGTTGAAAACTTGCTGGAATGTTTATCTGTTAAAATTGAGGGCAACTGATCCTGGGATATGTTWTTTGTTTTTATCGAACTCCTGGCTCTTGTATAGATGGTTTAGTAAGAAAATATCAGAGATGTATGAGAGGTGTTTTTTTTATTAATTTACTTGTATTTGTGGAGATTTTAACACTKATTTGTAAAACACAATGAGCATATCAAAAAAACTGAATTTGTCAACTCAATGTTTGGTTTAGGTTTCTATCGGTTAATATTAAGACCTACTCAAACAACCAAAGACAGTGCCTCATTGATTGATAATATTTTTTTTATAAATAAATTCAATGTGAAGTCAAAAAGTAGATTATTAATAAYTGATATTACTGATCATTTGCCTGTGTTGGATATTATTATAGTATGGTCGAAATTATAAGTTGTCTGGTTTCTTTTGCTTGAATACATTTGTTGGTGTGCAACAGTTTGATGACATAATGTAGGTG